CTTTTTCTTTTTCTTTTTCTTTTTCTTTTTCTTTTTCTTTCTTTCCCCTACACCTAGCACGCTGAAACAAAATTGTACTTAAAAAAAGGATTTTCCCACATTCATCTTAAATGGGTTAATAATTTAACCATCGTAATCAGTCTGGTTGCACAGAGCAAGTTAAACTGTGATGACGAAGAAAAAAGGATTTTCATGTCCCTCAGTGGCTCCATTTGCACAGCACATGAAAGCCTAAATCTGACTCAACCAAACACAGTTGCTGTGTTCACATAACATACTCTGCCCTAAGAAACAAATAAACCATATTACGGTGTAACATGATTATACAACATGCTAAGGCAATGACTCCCACAAAATGAGGAATCTCATCTTCCAGACGATGACTATTTGACCTCAGTTTAATCTAGCTTCACATGTTCAAATCCAGCCAGCAAGATTTTTGGACAAATCTCTTTGACTTACTTCTCCTTTTTATAATGGGAATAATTCACTTCAGGAGGTTGTTTGAGGACAGGCGAGTGGTTACAGACACCTTGCGTTTTGAGAAAGTGCTACATAGAAGTTTAAATTCCCAGAAATATTGCACTCATTCATGTCTGAGAGCTTTCGTATTAGTAGTTTTCTAATTCTGCTCTAATGTATTTGCTCATTTGTTTTCCAGGGCACACATGGAGTTTCCTCTTGTTCCAATACATGTTTGGGATTCCACTACTCCCAGGAATTAAGTTTCAACTCAGGAAAAAACAGTATCGAAAACACTTTCTTTTTATGGAGCATATGAGAGAAAATTATATTTACTCTTAACATATCCTTACAAATTAAAACCACGTTATTGTTTTGTATTTCCAAAGGTATAGAAAGAGATAAGACAGAATTAATTTTCTCTCCTCTGAAAAACAATCCAGCAGCTAAGACCAGTTTTGAGATCATCTGGTTTTGAAAGGCTACGTTGAAACAAAAGTAGTATTTCCGTCCTTTCCAGCAGTGTTTCACAATTCAAACAACTGCTTAACAGAGTCAGAGAATTTGGAATTATAGAAATTCAGGCTGAAGAAACACTTCAAGGGGGTTGCATTGAAACATTAAGGCTGCAGCCTTAAAACACCAGGAACAATGTTCTGGATGGAGGATGGAGGATTCTTCCTTTTTTTTTTTCCTGAGCTGTGGTCTCAGAAAGGGAAACCGGACTTCAGTTCCCCACTCTGTCTCCCTATGGGCCCTGATATCTTATTTTTTTCTAAGATTCGGAAACTATCACACTGGAAACTCCAAAACTGAGCAGAGTTAGAACTCGCCGTTTGGTGAAGTCAAAGGAGAGAGCTGTGAGGATCCCAAACCCTCCTAGCTCTCGGCCACGACCCCAAAGGGGAGGCAGAGAGGGTTAGCTGAAATAGTAGCCATATATATATTTACCAAAAAGGAAAAAGAAAGGAACTTGGAAAGAGCAGAAACTTTTCCTGGCTGGGTTTTAGTTTGTTGAAAGTTTCTGAACTTGGAACTACTTAGTTGTTCTGCAAATTAGATTGCTTTGCGAAGAAAGTGGATTATTCTGGGAAGCAACTGAATTGTTCTTTGAAGGTAGCTTTTATGCTCCATAATTAGAAAACAAAATTTCTAGAGGTTTTCTACAAGTTGAACTTTTTAACTTTTTTTTTTAAAAAAATGAAACGAATATTCATCTTCAACTAGCCCAAAATGAATTATTTTGACTGAATCTAAAATCTGCTTCCAAAGTGTAAAGTTTTGTTTATAACGTTACCAAATACTTTGGACCAAATGCCTAATTAGTGGCTTGCTAGCAACCATTCCTACTGGCAATTTCTCTATAAACCATTATGGAAAAGCTGGTAAGAGAGTTTATAATGGCAGCTGTCTAATTAAAAAAAATAAACCAGAAATTACATTTGAACCACCCCAATACTTTATTTTTGGGAGTGGGGGAGCAAGTGTGTGGTGAGAGTGGGGTGGAACCCTTTTTAACAAAGAGATATATTTTTCTTTTGTCGTAAGTGCATTTTAGGAGTATTATGCACAGTAATTCTTGTTAACTAAAATAAAAATAGGAAAACACGAGACCTAAATTCATAAATTCAAACAAAGAGGATGAACATATAGAAGTTAAAATTCTTAAGAAATCTACTGGGAAAAAGAATGAAATAGTGCAAATTGAAAATTCTCCTTTTGCATTTTTCTGCCAGCCAAGGTGAAAAATAATTCACCTTTCAATTACTTAATCTTTACAAAATGTCTCACAAAATATTTTGTTACCTATAGAAATTAGTGCCTATACATCAATATAGATTCTTTAATAAATTATTCCATCTTTAAGTGCCTTCTATATTCATATAAATGATAATATAGACAATTAAAATAAAATGTAAAGCTTTTCCCAGTTGTACCCTCCTTGGTCAAGTTTAAGTACCCTGAATCTTGCATGTTCATGCGAGTGCATTTCAGTATGAAAGCTTTCCTTCCCATCAAATCTCACTGAATGATTAAGAACCAGATGCAGTGGTGGGTCTGAAGTAGATGGGGAGAAATTATGCTCCAGCTTGGGTTGGGATGAGGGGAAGGAGAGAGATGCATAGTTATGTGAAAAGTCGAGGTGCTGCAAATACAGATGTACTATGATCAAAGTAAGTCCCCGATCCAACATCTGGGAAAAGAAAATAATCAAAGCATTCGAGGTCTCAGCAGAGTCCAGTGGAACATGGGATCATTTTATGCACAGCGCAGGCCATTCAGCTCTTCCTCCAGAGAACTGTTAAGTAGAACTTATGGCCACATCCATTTTAAATGGGAGCTCAGAAGACACGTCCTGCAGGATTGAGACACTGCGGAGATTCTTTAAACCACCAAGAAACACATTGAGCTGAGCCAGCACCGGCTGGGAGAGAGGCAGCCTGCTGGCCATTTTTGCCTCCAACGTGCATCGTCACAAAGCTGTGTGGTGAGCACACAGAACAGTGTGTGTGTGTGTGTGTGTGTGTGTGTGTGTGTGTGTGTGTGTGTGTGTGTGTGTGTGTGTGTGTGTGTGTGTGTGTGTGTGTGTGTGTGTGTGTGTGTGTGTGAGAGAGAGAGAGAGAGAGAGAGAGAGACTTAATATGGCAGACTTTTTTTAAAAAAAATGTTTTTCTTTTTTCTTTCCCCTTTATGACCAAATCAGTGTCCTTCATGGCTTCGAACAGTTTGTGTTGTATGTTCAGAGAGAAAAAAAAAATCACATTGACAGCAAAACGTGAAAATAACTCCCCCTGCCCTCCCCAAAGCTTCCAAATAAGTTAGGATTAAATTTTCTTCTAAATACTTCTCCGTTGTAATTAGAGTTGAGTCAGCTACTTTATAGCTTTTCCTTGGAAGGAATCCAGATGAAAGGTCCCGATTGTTCTTCAATTACAAGTTTGGTTTGGTTATAGATATCTTCTAAGGTTTCTCCTTGGACGATTGCTACAGGAAGAAAAATAGATTTTATCCCTTTTCAAAAACAAAATTTGTCAGCATTTCTTTTATCGATATATCTGATACGTAACAGAGCTTCATTTTGAACAGGAGGCAAACTGTGGCTTGAAAATTCATTTTTGTGAGCTGTGAAACCCAAGTGTTACACTCTGAAAGTTAGTGGAAAACTGCTGAAGAATACTTATGTATAATTTTTTCATTTATAATTTTTCGCTTATAATTTCACAGGGTCAACGAACAAACAAACAAATGCTTTCCTTCTTTGGTTGGCATCAGGAGACTCGTAACAGACTAACCGGTCATGAAAGCTTATGCCTTTTAATGACATTTGTTAGCCAGAAAAAGTTCTACTAGACTTATGATTTGTTTTGCCATTATAGACTAACATGGCTTTCCTCCTATAATATTTCCTTGGCTTGAACAAACCACTCTTTTTGAATTTCTCCAGTTGTAAACCATGAATCTTATTGTTCTGAAACTTTGCTGGAAGGTCTGGTCCTGTGTTGGCTCTGGGCCTTATGCTGTGTTGCAAATAAGGTCCACAGTTCTGAGATAAAGCCACATGAATGCAACATATCTCAGAATCAAGTCTTTGAATGTTCACAGAGTGATTTGCTTGAACGTTTGGAGAGCTGCTAACAATCAGAAGAAACATACAAAGCTAGGCTGATCATTGTCTTGCCCCAAGGAAAAAAGAAGCGACTTGTACACGGTCATTTTTATGCTACTCCTGGTAGTCCTCACTTACCAACCACTTGTTCAGGGACTGTTTGAACTTACGACGGTACTGAAAAATAAGACTTATGACTGGTCCTTGAAGTTGCAGCCATCACAGCGTCCCTGCGGTCATGTGATTGTGATTTCGGTACTGGGCAACTGGCATGCATTTATGAAGGTTGCAGTGTCCCGTGATCATGTGATCGCCATTTGCAACCGTCGCAGGTGGCTTCCAACAAGCAGAAACAATGGGGGAGCTGGCAGGAAGTCACAAGTCACGATCTTGTGATGTCACGTTTAATGACTGCACCACTTAGCGACAGAGTTGCTGATCCCAATTGTGGTCAGTAAATGAGGACTACCTGTATTCCTCTGATAATTCAATTTTTCTTCCTTATCCCCAAAATGTCACCAGGAATAAATGATGCACTCCCCCACTTCATGAAAAAAGGAAGCCTTTTCAAATGTACCTGTAAAATATTCTCCAAATTCTTGTTCTAATTTCATGGCTCGGTCATAGGTCTTCCTGGCCTGCTCCTCCGTGAGGCGTTTATTCATTTCCCTGAAACACAGTTTGAAAACACAAGTAAGGGAGAGGGAGAAATCCAAGCAACATTTCATTTGCCCTTGGCAGAAATAAAAATAAAGCAATAAAGATCAGTCCCAAATGGACCTAGCTAAAAAATAATGGCATTGTTTATTCAGCTAATTCAACATAGGCATTACTGGGGAAAATATGACTATCCTATTTGAGCCTCTGGAAATAAATGCTTATTACTGGCAAGTGGAAAACATTTTGCATGCATTTCCTGCCAGTATGGTTGAATAGTTAAAGTGTCGGACTAACAATGGGGAAGACCCAGGTTCTAGTCTACCCTCAGTCACGGAAACTCAATGGTTTGCCTTTGGGCCAGTCAGCCAGGCCTACTTTGCAAGGTTGTTGTGGGATTCAGACAAGAAGGATCCTGATTCATGTCATGGAAGCTCACTGCATAGCTAGACCAGCGACATCCTTGCAGCCCAACCTACCTCACAGGGCTGTTGTTGGGGGAAAAATTGGGGGGAGTGCTATGTATGCTGTCTTAACCTCCTAAAAGGAAGGTGAGATACAACACTAACAAAACTAATTAAATAAAATTCAAATTAAACCTTTCGGGGATATATTCCTTTCCTCTCCACCCCTCCGTTAAGTGCATAGTCAAAATATTCCCAAAGCTATAGGAGCAGAGCTTCATTTGTCCAAGCCTTTGTAAAACAAATTTTCTAAAATATATTTCCAGTGCCAAATTCAGCCCAGAAACGTTTTTAAAAAAATCAGTGTTCTTTGCCACTGAACACGTATGAAGTAGCTTAAAATATATTTCCAGTGCTGAAAAACATATATATTTCTAGTGCCAAATTCAGCCCAGAAACATTAAAAAAAATCAATGTTCTTTGCCACTGAACATGTATGAAGTAGCTTCTGCTTTGCCTGTAAGAATAACTGCATCTTACCCATCATCTGAAATTACTGTGTGTGGTTTCTGGGTCATAGGACGTGGCTTCCCTTCAAGGCACTGGTTAATTTTAGAAAGTCAATGGAGAAATGCGGGCAAACGAGACAGAAACTTTCCACCCGAATCAAAATCTCTGGCTTTGTCAGAGACGCGTGCAGACATAGACTCGGCAGAATAATCTACGTGTGTTGCTTGGAAAAAATTATATGCATTGTGATGCATGAGGACGGCCTGAGAAGATCACGCCAGCGCCCGTATACTAGTTGACCTAACTCTGTTGCTCGCTGAACTACCTGTGTGCATGGGCGAACCGTAGAAGGAAAGAGCAGCAAAACAGAACTGTGGGGGCTTCCATTTCAGTTCCCACCTGGACGTTGCTCTGGTGCTTCTGCACGCAAGACAGAATCGAGCTGTGACAGTCAGAGGATTCCCATGGAGGACCTCTTCCTGGGCTCTGCTCTTTCAAACATCGGGAGGAGCAGGGTGGGAAAGAAGGCCTGAACTTTTATATGAGGCACATCTTGAATGCAGAAAAACCTACCATGACAATGTAGGTGGGAATCCTTCTCTCGGATAGGTTTTTCTTTTTGTTTTGGTATTATTATTCCTGGAAAAGACTTCGTTGGTTTCCCTTTAAGGCGAGGAAAGCATTTGCAAGGTCACAACTGCAATTCTCTCTGCCTCCGGTTCCTCAGATAAACACACAATAGAAAAACGAAGTGCCCATAACCCGCCTCCTCAAACTCTTGTTTGGGCCCTCCGTAAGCTGAAACGGTTGTGCTAATGCAGTGT